GGGAGGGGCAGCGCGAAGGAGAAGTGGGAGGGCTCGACGATCAATTGAGGGTTGCTAATCGCAAAATATGGTGATTTTAGGTGATTTATAACTACTTGACCGTGATTTTCAGGAAGCGACTGGGGGGAGGGGAGGGGAGTTTTTTTTGGGGTGCACCCCCGCCCTCCCCTAGATACAGATACGCCAATGATGTTTATTAATTTTATTATTCTTTATTAATTAGAAGAACTACCGCTTGATTATAAATCGACGGGGAATCTACTGATAGTTGTTGCTGTTGATAATTTTCTCTTACAAGGTTCTTGCATTGAATAATTTTGTCATTTCCAATAACAATCACTTAAAGACTTACTTGTTCGCCTAAACCTGTTCTACATTGTACATTCATTAATACAGAGTTTGTTGTATGTTATTTACTTTTTATTTGGTTTTACTTATTTGGCACTTGTCATAAAAACAAAGTATAGTAAAAAGTTAATAATAAGCAGTTCCATACAATGAATTGAAATTAAATTTGAATGCCAAAAATATTTTAAAAACAAAGAGCAAAAAGCAGCCAAAGAATTAAGGCAAAATAACCAATATTGGACAGAGAGACATATTAAAAAATCAGCCTCCGTACACTCTCTTTAGAATGTAATGACGCATGAACCACGCATTAAAAATACTCGTAAATGATACGCTTATACCATACAACACGTTAAATGACGGCAATCAAGTAAAGTGCCTAGGTAATCAGCATGTACCTTGGTAATATAATACAATGTATACAACAATACAATGTTATTAGGTCTGGCTCCTGATATTTAATGGGAAATGGCAGCGCCAAAAAATAAACGGCCGATTGCTACACAACAAACAGTATTAACACCCGACAAATAGTCGTGTCAAAGCTCTGTCCAGATTATCAAATTTTCTTTAAAAAAAAACTTATATGCCCATATATAGTCATGATGTGCCTATATATGGTCATGATGTGATGTCATCATGACCATATTTAGGCATGTCAGGTATTCATCAAATAAAATTCGATGGGAGAGGGCTTAAGAAAAGGAGGTTTTTATGCATTAGCTCAGGATATACAGCTGTATATCTTTTTCAACTTACATTTTTGTAATCACTGAAGGTAGGGGAAAGGATGGCACAAGCTTTTGTAGTAGGGAGATGGGGGTTGGGGTGCGCTCCTACTGTACCCTTCCCCATAGATATACCATTGAAAACAGGGCCTAAAAAATATGCATTTGTCCCACAAACACACATGGTCCAAAACGCACATGTTTGTGGATTGGATTAGATTGGATTGGATTTATTCGGTGTAAACACCAAGGATAGCCCACGAAAGTCTAGAAGAAGACTTATTTCCAGTGGGGTCTTGTGGTGGTGATTGGGCAGTACACCGGGAGACAATCCCCTACGAATGCTGTTGTTTTGTGGGACCTTTCAGGGTATTGTAGCTGGAGAAAACTAAGGGTGGTTGATAGACAATTTCAGGGTGGGTAAAGTGATAACAATAAACTCTAAATAATAAGAGTGGATTTTAAGGATGGAAAATTGGGGTAATAACGGTGGGTGGAAGGCCATGAAATTAGCTTTAGACTACAAGGCTGGGTGCCCCACCCACCTCTGCACACCATAAACTACATCCCTGCTTTAAGCAACAATATCCAAGGAGCAATGGGTTAGCGGAACTATTGTGAATGGCCACTGAAAGAATCCTATTTAATGTATTTACTGTAGTTCATCACTGAGTGATGATAATCACATATGAATATGGAAAATTAAGCTTGACACAAAAGCCAAATTAAACCTTTATTCAATTATTATTTTACAAGTTAAGTTTGCGAAATGCATGTCATAGACTAAGGGTTGTCAAGGTGATGCCATGAAAACTAACTAACCCTCCATTGTCTGGCCTAAAAGCACTTACAATACATATTAAACAATGGTAACACGTTACTAATCAAAAAAGGTACACATAGTCACACTTTATGCTAAAGAACAGAACAAATTAGTGTACTGAATGCCGACAATATTACATTATCTATGTTTTGTAACTGGAGGAATATACCTTGATTAATATAGAATTTTAGAAGAAACTTGCTTGTCGAAGTTTGCAATATACAGTAGATACTTTTGTTTGTATTTCTGCCATTTATGATTTGTGGCAAAGACAAGCCAAACCAGTCACTCGTCGCAAATCCTGTTTCAGAGAAAATAGCCAAAACATGCTAGAATGTCAAATTTTAAAAAATCTATTTTATTGCACTAAACTAAACTTTATATATCTACACATCATCCTATGCTGTTATTTTCCCCATTTTCAAATTAAAACAATACTTTTTAAGGACTTAAGATAGTTTCTGCATGAGAAATGCCTGAAATCATAAACTTTGACGGCTAATCTCTCATATATTGTTTTTTAAACGCTTGTAACTTCATAAGGAAATGTCCGATTAGAATGATTTTTTTTACCATTTTATAGCTATTATTTTACTCTCTAACACTGTATTAATAACTCAAAATCAATTTTTGCGACGAGTGACTGGTTTGGCTTGTCTTTGCCACATTTTAGTTCAAAGTTTTCCAAAATTACAAATTTGTAGTCTTCAATTTCAGGTTCCTCTGTCTAATTTGTTAATATACTATTAAAATTATATTATTTTTCTTACATATTGATATTATATTTGCATATTTTTTATACCATAATTACAACCCTGTATTTGATGTTTTTATTCACTATTGGTTGATTAAATAACTAAAGTATTTTTTTTAATATAACACTCTTAAAAGTGGCTTTGGTTCAAGTAAATTGCCATTTGCACATTTATGATTAAATGCAGGCATGGGGCAATAAGAGACTAATTCTTTTTGTAATAAAAAGAAATTCTTGTGTTGTCCACGTTTTGGAAAAATAAAAAAAAATGTGTAGGTCGGTAGGAAAAGTTTTTTTTATTTTTAACAAAACAAAAATACAAAAAAAAAATGTTTTAATTTAGATTGAAGAACACTGTTGCATTGCCTACCGTTGCAAGATAGGCCTATTCCAGCCTTTTTAGCTCATTAAAAAAATATTTTTCGATGTAAAAAAAACAAATTAAAAAAAACTAAAATGCCGACTCTCAATTTTAAACATTTTGCCAACACAATAATTTTTTTTATTTGGCCTAATACAGAGTTTTGTCCCCACCAAGTCAAAGTAAAACAAAAAAACAAAAAAACCAGAAGTTGCTAAGATACCATACCCAGCAAACCTGACAGTTACAGTCATGAAAAAACTTCCAAAATACTGAAAGCTTGACTTTGATGCCAGCCAGAAAAAATTCCTCCTTTAAATCAGCGGCTTAGCTTAGTCCACACTACAAAATTTTTGTGGGACAAGTTTGTGTGATGTGCCCATATATAGGCATGATGATGTCATATTACACCCAATGCAATGCCTAATATTTGTCACATGGTTTGATAGTGTGAATAGAGCTTAACACATTCTAGAGCCCCGGGCTGGTATTCAACCCCCGGTCTGCGTGCTGAATCCGGCCTGCCAAAGATTTTGAATCCGGCCGATTTTTAGAAAAAGTTTGTTAATAGAAACAACATCTACTTGATCTAGCATTGTTAAGGAGAGTCTGGCTTTTTCTGACCGTAGATCATTGTATCTAGTGGAGTAGACTATTGACATAGGAAGGGGGGAGACTGATGGGGATAATGGATTAAGTGGGGAGGGGCACTGATATGATGCAATGTCTAACCATTTGCCGATCATGGTGGGGCCAAAGTAAATGCAGGCCCTTTTCGGTCAGGGCTCTTGGTCAGGGAATTTCTAGCGCTTTTTGAATTTTTTTGAACTTCTTAGTACATAATTTACTTTTAAAAATTAATTTTTAGTTATTAATACAGAGTCAAACAGTAAAATGATAGCTAGAAAATGGTAAAAGAATCGTTTAAATCTTATGAAGTTACAGGAGTTTAAACATACATCTTTTCAAAGAACAAATTTTTGAGAAAGCAGCCTTCAAAGTTTACGATTTTGGGCATTTCTATAGGGCAGAAACCATCACCAAATCGTTAAAAAATCTTTATTTTCGCCATCATTGAAAAGGGGGAAAATAACATAGCATGATGTATAGATATATAGAGGTTAGTTATAGTGCAATAAAATAGATTTCAAAACTTTTGACATTCCAGTGTGTTTGGCCATTATCTCTGAAACACAATTTGCGACGAGTGACTGGTTTGGCTTGTTTTTGCCACATATTGGTGCAGTAGCAGGCAACCCCACCAGGTACCCATTTATACTCCTGGGTGGAGAGAAGCAATGCAGACAAAGTGCCTTGGTCGAGGACACAAGCGAGGTGCACAGTGAGGGACTGAAACCCCGACCTCGAGGTTGGGAATATAAACCGTTCCCGCTGCGCCAAACCGCTTCCACAAAGCTGGCTGTGACAAAAGCATTTTCTTGTGGTTTTAAAGATTCAATTTGATTGGAAATGTGAATAGAAAATAAAAATAAATAAATAAATAAAATTGTGATTGTGTTGCAGTTTTACTTTACTATACTACAGTATTTACTGTTCTTTTCTGAGGGGCGTATGAGGTTGCCCTACAGCTAATAGCATAAGTATTCACATCGGATCCAAATGAAAGTTTAGACCACGATTCCAACGAGCTCAATGCCAGCGTCCATAATTTTACACGCTGATTGAATTTTCTGATCAGTTTCTTAAGCCTTCTGATGAAAAATTTCAGATTCGGTATGAATGAGGCCTAAAAGGTAATTTAGGTCAATGCCAAAACATCAGAAATGCTACTCTGAAGGTTGTCAATCTTGAGCACCCAGCAGTCATTATTGAGTTTGCTATACAAATACAGCCAATTACAGGTACGAGTACACTGGATATTTAAAATTAAGAAGGTACGTATGATTGAAACCAAGCCTATGATTACTGTGATCTGGTGATTCATTTAATTTTTGTCTAAGCTGTTAGTGCTTCAGCATTACTCACCTGTGACTGTCGAATCCACCTCCAACACCACCCCCGTAAGGCCACATGTTAGGCTGGTTAAAATCAAGCGATACGTATGTGCACTGTAGCAAGCGTGTTTAGAGTGGCAACATTTAAATCACAAGCCAAGTCTGAATCAAAAAACATGCAGACAAAGAGGGTTACAGGCAAGTGTTACTCATACCCTGGTTCTTAAACTTTTTCAGGTGGTGACTGGTTTTCAGATCCCACATTTAGAGATCACTCAACGTCGCAACAGGAAAGGAAAGTAAAGTGAGGTGATGAATTAGATTACCAATCCCCGGTTCCATTTTTGCTAAATTTTTTTGTGCTATCGACATTCACTTTTTTTGAAATAAGATTTTAAAAAAGGTGTAATATTTTTGGCCTTGTGTTTTTTAAGGTGAGGTGAAAAAGTACAACTTATCAATCTTATCCATAGTTCTTATGTCTTCTTGGCAAGAGAAGTGTCTCAACTCAGTTTGAGAACCGGTGCTGTCCTTATAAAAACAAACAAAATTGCTGAAGGAAAAAAAATGACAAAGCATGGCACTACTGTAAGCAGGTGTATCTGTGACATTCAGGACAAATAATATTTAATCTGTAAAATGTAGCAACATATTGCAGTACTGTATGTTGCATTCAACTTTAATTCAACTTCAATAGTACCATGAATTGCTGAAGAACAAATTGACCAAATAATTATGTAATTATTTCAACATTTGTGGCAAAGACAAGCCAAACCAGTCACTTGTCGCAAAAATCGATTTTGAGTTATTAATACAGTGTTAGAGAGTAAAATAATAGCTATAAAATGGTTTAAAAAATCATTCAAATTGGACATTTCCTTATGAAGTTACAAGCATTTAACCACACAGCTGTTTAAAGAACAATATATGAGAAATTAGCCGTCAAAGTTTTAAGATTTTAGGCATTTCTCATGCAGAAACTATCTTTTAATCCTTAAAAAGTATTGTTTTAACATTGAAAATGGGGAAAATAAGAGCATAAAATGATGTGTAGATATATAAAGGTTAGTTTAGTGCAATAAAATAGATTTTTAAAAATTTGACATTCCAGCATGTTTTGGCCATTTCCTCTGAAACACGATTTGTGACGGGTGACTGGTTTGGCTTGTCTTTGCCACATTTAATGGGGGTGGTCAATTTAGATGAACCAGATCAGTATATTGGGACCCTCAATACAATGCAAGTAAAATTAAAAAATTAAAATACAATAAAAATGAAAAAATTGGATAAAAATTTCAACAAGAAAGATGATACAACCAAATACAGTAAAGTACATTATATGAAAAAAAAAACAACAACAAAACACAGATGCCGATCCAGTATATTTTACCAGAGGGAGTAGTATACCATAGAGAAAATAGAATATTTTCTCTATGGGTATACTATAACCAGTGGGTTAAGAGGACAGGTTCCTGGTGACATTAATCTCTTACCTAAAAGATTTCACACTTTATTGTGACAATAAGCAGCTCTATTGTAGAACATGCACTACATTATGCACAATGAATGCAACATGCGGATACCGGCACCTTATAAATATCCAATATTATTATTATTATTATTATTATCTGTCAAGGACACCATTGTTATGTGTTGTACATTGAGAAAATTGCCATGGTAACAAAGCAGACGATTAATGGTTTCGTTTTATGAAGATTAGTTTAAAAGTGTTTCAGTGTTGGTATTGTACTGTGCTCATTTAATTGTTTCTTATACAGTAACTGTACTGCAAAGCCCATTATTTTCATGTGCCTTAATTTTTCGTGACAAAACGATGATTGTGAAAACCGTGAAATTGTGTATGAGAGATTTGTCATGGTTTTGAAAATCTTTTGTTCCTTTAAAATGCGTATAATCTGAAGATAGGGAGTTGTTAATTTAATTAACAGCTCTTGGTAAAAACTTCCTGCCTAAGGTACAAACTAGTTTAAAAATCGGGTTGGTAATAATAATAATAATGACTTTATTTGAAAACGGAAAACTTGATCACAAATTAAATGTGTTTTTCACAAGGCCGTTTCTGAAGTACATAATAACGAAATTTAAATTACAAAAACATTTACAAGACAAACAGAAATAAAGAAGTAAAAGAAACCAAAATAAAACAATTACTGTATTATCTTATGCAAGTAACTTTCAATTATTTGTTAATAGTTTTTTTAAAGTTTGAACATTTGAGGCCATTCTCATATTGAGGTTTAGGTTATTCCAGACAATGGCTCCCTGATAGGAAAAACTTCTTTTCTTATATTCTGTACTGGGTTTGGGTACCTTAAGTATGTCCTTAGACCTGGTCATGTGGTATGGTATGACATAAATTATTTAGCCTCATTTTGTCTGTATTTGAAAGTTTTATTTGTTTAAATTTTTTACTGCCTTTATATTGTTTCCCCATTAATAAAATAATTGGGAGAAACCCAACAAAATCGTGTGCTCTAGCTATCATATAGGCCAAAAAAACATTAATGGTATTTTTTTTGCACATGTTTAAAAAAATTAGAAAATTTTTTTTTAATATTTCAAATTTTAAAATCAGAAAAATAACTTTAGGCTTTACAGTATTTATAGTATAATTGTTTGTGTTGAGTTGTTATATTCTTTTAGAATATCATTGTACATGAGCTGAGAAAATTTAGAAGTAGAAAGGCATTCAAAAGTAGTCAAATATTACTAAGTCCTGGTACAAAGATATACCATAGTTGTTGGTATGTTAAAGTGTTGGTTAGGTAGCAGTTCAAAACAGCATACCAAAATGGCAATGACAAGTACCAAAACGGCAAAAGACCAAAACAAGTACCAAAATGGCATAAACCACAATGGCAAAGGAGCGAAATCAATGTCAAGACTAGGCGCAGGCCGCAGTTATAATTTTCTAAATCATTTTTAAATTGTCCCGATAGGCAAATCGAATATTGCCATGGGCTCTTTTCCCCACTTTTAATGTTTATTATTATTATTTCACATTTTTTTACTTTTATGACATAAATTATTTAGCCTCATTTTGTCTGTATTTGAAAGTTTTAATTGTTTAAATTTTTTAATGCTTTTATATTGTTCCCCCACCCCAATCTTAATATTGAATTTGTATATTTTTATTATTATTATTATTATTATTATTATTATTATTATTATTATTATTATTATTAATATTATTATTGTTAATGATATTATTGCTGTTGCTATTTGGCCTCATTTGTACTGTATTTAATCGTAATATACTTTCATGTTTATAATTAGTTAAATTTTTTTGCGTTTTTACTTTTATGACATAAATTGTTTAGGATCGTTTTGGTCTTGCCGTTTTGACTTATTGCCGTTTTGGTCTATTGCCGTTCTGTTCAAGAAGTGTTGCTGTTTTGGTTTTTCGCTGTTTTGTTCATTGCCATTTTGACTTATTGCCGTTTTGGTTTATTGCCGTTTTGTCCAGAAACCGGTGGTTAACACAGGAGATGCACACAATTACTTGGTAAAAAAAAACATTCTTTAAAATCCTATTTAAAAGGAATAATGTTGAAACAGACAATGTGGTCTCGATCAATTAAGCTCGTTTTCCAACTTTAATAGCCTGTTTTATGGTTGATTATAATGAGTATACAGTACTGTAGGCCACTGCAAAAAATCCATTTTCACAAATAAAAGAATTTTTCTTTCTACCACATATATAGTTTTAAAGAACTACTCCATAGTTTCAAATCTATAAAACACCATGATTTTATTCTCATCACTAAAAAACATCTCTACCTTCTAGCTTACGGCCAAGTTGAAAAAAATACACAAGACACTACAGTATATTCTCAAATAAACCATGTTGCATTTATAGGCCAACTACAGTATGAAACCAATTTTAAAATCTATTGCTTGGATGCCAAGTAGAATAGAGATAACAGATCAATCAAATTACAAACTTTAAATAAAATATTTCTCTTAAAATGACAAGATTGAATCTGTTCCCAGATTGAAAGCCACATAAAAACAAAAAAAAAACAGAACATTCTCATATCTGTGTTCTTTCATTTTTTTCCTAAGTTCATTTTTTCAAGGCAAATTATTAATGTATAGCCATATGCATTTTCTGGCACGTTTGTTTTGCTTGCCAATGTGAGAGAGAAGAGAAGCCAGGCTAGCTGTTTTGCCAGTGTAAACTCATCCGAGTAAATTTTGTGCGGCATGTGTTCGTGGCTTTCAGCTTCGCAATGATTCGCATTCGCTATTAATAGCATACTATTCAATTTTCATACTCGTCTACTTTGGCCTGTGTGGATCAGATTTCATTACAAAAGACTGTTAATTGCGACTTTATCTGAGAAAGCTGACGTCAATTTACCATAAACAATACTATTTTTTTTACTTCAAGGCTTAATCAAAATAGATTTATTGTAACCATCCAATCTGGCTGGCTTGAATCTGGCTTGTTTGTGGCCTTTTTCAAACAAGTCCATTTCCCTTGGGTGAGTTTATTATATTCCTCAGAAATCTGATTTGGTTACATCGCTATATAACTTGGTGGTAACATTACACTTTCTTCTAGATATTGATTTATATTTGTATTCACATCCATGAAAACAAAACTAGCCTTTGTGTTCGATGTTCACATTATTTAATAATAATAATAATAATAATAATAACAATAATAATAATAATAATAATAATAATAATAATAATAACAATAATAACAATAATAATTAATAATAAATAATAATAAATAATAATAATAATAATAATAATAATAATAATAATAATAAATAGTTCCCCTCTATTAAAGACCACCTCCAATTAAAGACCACTTTTCTGTGGTCCCCAATTAAAAAATTTCTTTTATCTTTGATTATTCTAATTAGAGACCAAAGCTGCTACAGACTATGAAAAGTCTTTTCCAAAAAGTGGAGACCTGTATAATAATAATAATATTTTATTAGTGAAAATTTAAGTCAGCTGAGGCAGTTTACCGTGTCCGGCGGTCACTGGATGACACAATTCTACGGAAAATACACGCCATGACGTGCGCACAATGGAATTGTTTTTAATGACGATCTGTTCATTCAAACATTATTTACAACTTGTACTTAAATGAGCTCCACATTCTCAAAAATAGGTACAGCAGAATTATTCTATCAGTTGAAATTAGAACTCCCATTGATGACATAATAAAAGACTTTTTCTGCATAACAAACCTTTGTTATGCAGATGGAAGTAAATATTTTTTGGCTTATATTTAAGTCCTAGTTCCTGAGAGGAATCACCCCAAATTTACTTTATGACTGTTATTACACAACCATTTTCCATTTTTTTATATTAAAATATACAATCAAATATTTGTATACAGTGTTCGAATTATTTATTTTATTACTTGTATATACACCACAATGCTATGCAGCAAATAGGGACATCACGAAATCGTGTTGAGTATCTCTTTCAATGAAATGTTCCTTATATTACATCATACGTTCCAATTCGAGCATATAGACAAATAAGACTGTATCTAGGTCAGGAAATTGATAAGCAAAAACTAAAATGTATGCTAAATGTTAACAGCTAGAAATAGAACCAGAGCTTTTGGACAACACTAGACCTTCCTCAGTGGAAGGACTTATATATATAAGTTAACTTATTATATATAAGAACTAGGACTTATATATATATATAATCATTAGTGGTCGTGGGACTAGTTTGGGCCCTACCTAAGCTAGTCGAACGTTTCGTTTGGGTCTGTACCCTAGCTGCACTGATGAGGCCTGGAAGGCCGAAACGGATCCGTGTGCAGATATTGGGATTCCTTCCAGTGGATGCTTCGTTTATTTTGTCATTCTGATCGGATTTTCTCTACTGTTCCGTTTTAATTTTAATTTTAAATTGTTTTGCATTATATGGCCGTTTGCTGTTTTATGGGTTTTCCGCATTTGCCTTTCAAATATATATATATATAAACGGGAAATTATAATACTACCACATTGGCTGCCAGCGACGAGTATACTCGCCCACAAGGTGTTGTTGAGGGCGCCAGGGGCAAGTATAAAATTGGGTAACATTCTAGTAACTTCTTTGTAATACGTAGTAGAATCACAGCCTCAACGGCTTGAACTTCTGGGAAGATACACCTAGACGATAACATACAAATGACGTATGTATGTTTGTTGTGTTAGCTGCCAGTAATACACTCGAGCGGCACAAGTAGGGGGCGCCTTTTGAACATATATCAACCCATGCAAAAAGCAGACAAGATAACTCGCACTTGCCATAGGTAATAAAAAGTGCCGCTGATGACTTTATTCGCCTCCTAATATTTTCCCGCCAATTTATTAGACACATCATTTTGATGATATAGTATGACTAGATAAAATTTCAAAAAGGTATGTTTGCATGTACATTTGTTTTGGCACACGGGAAGGAACCTTAAAAAAGATCTGGCAGTCAAAAGTTAATAAAGAGACTTAATAGAGCAGAAATGGAGCTAAGGCAAGAGAACATTCTTATACCGTACAACTAAGATACGGAAGCTTCAAACCACATTAGATCAAACTTTAATGATATTCAACTGACTACATTTTAAAAACTTAATAAAATCCCTTAATATTTGTATTCACTTTCATTACAAAGTTCTGTTCTCTTGCCTTCATTCAAATTTAAATAGTTCTTTGTAGTTAAGGGTTTTCCCCCCTTTTAATTTAAGTTCATTTGATATATATTCTGATTTGCATTTTTTTTTGCATGAAACCAGTCAGTGCTGCGTCACTGACAGTGCTAACTTGAAAGAAAGACTAAATAAATAAATATTTCTGGAGCTTTTTGTCTATTTTTTCCTTATCCTTTTTTCCGTAAATGAGATACATTTAAAGGTATAATTTAATGCTTTTCCATATCGTTTTTATTTAATTTTTTTTAAGGGATAAAAGAGATCTTTTCAATTTAGACTTGTTCCCTTTTATTGAAATATAGTAAAACCTTGAATAATTTTGAGTTGAATTCCATGTTTGAAAAATGTACACTTTTTTACATTAGCAATTCCAAATATTTACAGCATTCATTTTGAAAAGAAGCCTCTCCCCCCACTTTATTTAGCAAAAGTACTCTAAAAAAAAATCCATCAAGTGGTCGAAAAAAAAAAAAAAACCAGCCCAGGGTTTCTACTGTAATTTTACGGTAGTCTTTTGTCTTTTTATTTTTAAGAAAAAAATAAGTTTTACAGGCATTAACATGAAGCATTGAGGGGGTGGACTAGGCTTGGCCTAGAGGCCGTAAACTCAAAACGCTGATGATTAAATATATTACCACAATTTGGTCTTATTTTCTAAGGAGTAAATTGCACATCGCTTGGGCCTTCATGAGTAGATTCGGCATCCTTAGGCTTAGTACTTACCTAGAAAGTCTAAAACGACCCGGGCAGGGCCAATTCGACATCGGATAAAGCGACACGGTCCGAAACGACCCGGATTCATTAATTTAACTCAAGTTAAAAAGGCTAGGGCCTCGCCTACTCTACTACTACTAGGCCTCTCTACTATATAGGCTAGCCTAGGTAGCCCCAGCCCCATGCTGGTTTAGGGCCAAGGGCCTAGGCTAGGTCTGGCCTACAGTATATCAATAATCCATCATCTCAAATCAAAAACTTAAGAAAGGAAGCCATGAATCAAATTAGAAATTATTTGTGTGGTTGTTCTTACCTGTTGTGATGTCGTCTATCCATACCATTTAAGACATTCTTGGCAGTAGGCCTAAATGTAACGCACTAAGTTGTTAATAAAGCCAATATAAACAGGATCAACTCGGCCTTCCCCTGTTGAGATCAGCACCGTTACGCCGACAGTAGCGAAATGATGCCTTCCGCTTTAATTTTATCTCCGACTCGTGTAAGAGCCTAGCTACTGTGCAAAATCACCACTCCGCTTGAAGTGACCATGGTTTCAAATTATTGCATTGAAATAATTTTTTTTTAATTAACGTCAATGTTAACTAAAATTATTACTATATTATAAAAAATATTATAACTTTAAATTATAAAAATTTAATTTGTTAATAAAAAACTGATAAGTTATAAAATTGTATTTAAATCGCATGATAAATAAAGATTCTGTTGATTATTTGTTTACGATTGAAAAGCAGAAAGATGGCGACTTCCTCGATTGACCATGTTTTGACGAAAGGAAGGTTTGTGATTATGATATCATTCTAGCAAATAATGTGATTTAAATTCTACTAAGTGATTGTGTTTTTCTGCATTTGTTATTTGAGTTTTGATGTGGATTCCGGAAAATTGATATATCCAAGGCCTAGGCCTAAATCTACATTTTTAAGATTGCTCTACTATTTAAGCTAGGCTGGCCTGGCAAAATCAGCTGCCTCACCACGTTAGTTCCAGCTTCAAGGAAGTAAGCCGGGCTGCTGTCTCTTATACACATCTAGATGTGTATAAGAGACAGGAACTTCTGGGAAGATACACCTAGACGATAACATACAAATGACGTATGTATGTTTGTTGTGTTAGCTGCCAGTAATACACTCGAGCGGCACAAGTAGGGGGCGCCTTTTGAACATATATCAACCCATGCAAAAAGCAGACAAGATAACTCGCACTTGCCATAGGTAATAAAAAGTGCCGCTGATGACTTTATTCGCCTCCTAATATTTTCCCGCCAATTTATTAGACACATCATTTTGATGATATAGTATGACTAGATAAAATTTCAAAAAGGTATGTTTGCATGTACATTTGTTTTGGCACACGGGAAGGAACCTTAAAAAAGATCTGGCAGTCAAAAGTTAATAAAGAGACTTAATAGAGCAGAAATGGAGCTAAGGCAAGAGAACATTCTTATACCGTACAACTAAGATACGGAAGCTTCAAACCACATTAGATCAAACTTTAATGATATTCAACTGACTACATTTTAAAAACTTAATAAAATCCCTTAATATTTGTATTCACTTTCATTACAAAGTTCTGTTCTCTTGCCTTCATTCAAATTTAAATAGTTCTTTGTAGTTAAGGGTTTTCCCCCCTTTTAATTTAAGTTCATTTGATATATATTCTGATTTGCATTTTTTTTTGCATGAAACCAGTCAGTGCTGCGTCACTGACAGTGCTAACTTGAAAGAAAGACTAAATAAATAAATATTTCTGGAGCTTTTTGTCTATTTTTTCCTTATCCTTTTTTCCGTAAATGAGATACATTTAAAGGTATAATTTAATGCTTTTCCATATCGTTTTTATTTAATTTTTTTTAAGGGATAAAAGAGATCTTTTCAATTTAGACTTGTTCCCTTTTATTGAAATATAGTAAAACCTTGAATAATTTTGAGTTGAATTCCATGTTTGAAAAATGTACACTTTTTTACATTAGCAATTCCAAATATTTACAGCATTCATTTTGAAAAGAAGCCTCTCCCCCCACTTTATTTAGCAAAAGTACTCTAAAAAAAAATCCATCAAGTGGTCGAAAAAAAAAAAAAAACCAGCCCAGGGTTTCTACTGTAATTTTACGGTAGTCTTTTGTCTTTTTATTTTTAAGAAAAAAATAAGTTTTACAGGCATTAACATGAAGCATTGAGGGGGTGGCCTAGAGGCCGTAAACTCAAAACGCTGATGATTAAATATATTACCACAATTTGGTCTTATTTTGTAAGGAGTAAAATGCACATCGCTTGGGCCTTCTTTTTCTGACACGAGTAGATTCAGCATCCTTACCTAGAAAGTCTAAAACGACCCGGGCAGGGCCAATTCGACATAGGATAAATTGACACGGTCCGAAACGACCCGGATTCATTAAGGGTGCTAAGTATTAACTCACGTTAAAAAAAAAAAAAAAAAAAAAAAAACCAGCCCAGGGTTTCTACTGTAATTTTACGGAAGTCTTTTGTCTTTTTATTTTTAAGAAAAAAATAAGTTTTACAGGCATTAACATGAAGCATTGAGGGGGTGGCCTAGAGGCCGTAAACTCAAAACGCTGATGATTAAATATATTACCACAATTTGGTCTTATTTTGTAAGGAGTAAAATGCACATCGCTTGGGCCTTCTTTTTCTGACACGAGTAGATTCAGCATCCTTACCTAGAAAGTCTAAAACGACCCGGGCAGGGCCAATTCGACATAGGATAAATTGACACGGTCCGAAACGACCCGGATTCATTAAGGGTGCTAAGTATTAACTCACGTTAAAAAGGCTAGGGCCTCGCCTACTCTACTACTACTAGGCCTCTCTACTATATAGGCTAGCCTAGGTAGCCCCAGCCCCATGCTGGTTTAGGGCCATAGGGCCTAGGCTAGGCCTGGCCTACAGTATATCAATAATCCATCATCTCAAATCAAAAACTTGAGAAAGGAAGCCATGAATCAAATTAGAAATTATTTGTGTGGTTGTTCTTACCTGTTGTGATGTCGTCTATCCATACCATTTAAGACATTCTTGGCAGTAGGCCTAAATGTAACGCACTAAGTTGTTAATAAAGCCAATATAAACAGGATCAACTCGGCCTTCCCCTCTTGAGATCAGCACCGTTACGCCGACAGTAGCGAAATGATGCCTTCCGCTTTAATTTTATCTCCGACACTCGTGTAAGAGCCTAGCTACTGTGCAAAATCACCACTCCGCTTGAAGTGACCATGGTTTCAAATTATTGCATTGAAATAATTTTTTTTTTAATTAACGTCAATTTAACTAAAATTATTACTATATTATAAAAAATATTATAACTTTAAATTATAAAAATTTAATTTGTTAATAAAAAAACTGATAAGTTATAAAATTGTATTTAAATCGCATGATAAATAAAGATTCTGTTGATTATTTGTTTACGATTGAAAAGCAGAAAGATGGCGACTTCCTCGATTGACCATTCTTTGACGAAAGGAAGGTTTGTGATTATGATATCATTCTAGCAAATAATGTGATTTAAATTCTACTAAGTGATTGTGTTTTTCTGCATTAGTTATTTGAGTTTTGATGTGGATTCTGGAAAATTGATATATCCAAGGCCTAGGCCTAAATCTACATTTTTAAGACTGCTCTACTATTTAAGCTAGGCTGGCCTGGCAAAATCAGCTGCCTCACCACGTTAGTTCCAGCTTCAAGGAAGTAAGCCGGGCTGTCGAATGACGAGTAGAATAGGCCTAGCCTAAGAAATTTTCATTAAGGGTCCTTACGATAGCTAGGTCAGCTAAACTGGTGCTAGCTACTGTGTGTGCGCTGAACTGAGGAGATCTGTTGTTGGTTCCTGGTTCAATTCTCATTGCTGCTCTCCTTGTTGTATTTTAGTTGGATTGGAGGGCCGATGCTAATGCTAATACAATAGCGCACAGTCTTTCGGATGAGACATTTATTGCCATTGGTCCTGTGTGCAATGTGGCCCACATACTCATTAAAGAACATAGTACACTCTTCGAAAAAGTGTAGGGCTGTAGTACTGCCCAATCACCACCAGAAGGACCCCACTGGATAATAAGTCTTCTTTCCTTGCTTGGTGTTTACACCGAATAAAGCCATCCCTCCATTTATACAGGGCGGCATCTAGCTTACATTCTTAATTAAAGTAAACTAGTTATCATATTCAGTAATTTGATTTAGGCCTAGTAGGCCTAATTTATTTACATAAAAAAAACAGGTATTACAGTACTGGCCTAGGCTATACACAGACTATTTTTTTAATTGATTGAAGGTCCGTCCATGAGACAGGATTTGCATCGTTATGTGACCAATTATGCGACCGACTGAGGTCAACAGATAGAAGTACAAGTATCACCACATTCTTGCGTAACTTCTTTTTCTTGATACATTGCACAAAGAAACCTAGAAAGTAAGTAAATTCTGTTTTGTTGTTGAATATTATTAAATGTCATTTTTTCAAATAATCCCTTCTTTCCTCTTTCTTTCTCCCCTTTTTTTTTAATACCCTCTGCTCTTGTTGAATATTCTTGATATTGTCTACTATACTAACAACTCAGCCAACCTACTATGATAAATATAAACCTTTAGACTTACAGTGCTTTGTCTGTATGTACAACAGATTCTTCCTTATATGTGCAATTATTGTAATGTTGAAATAACAAAAAAAAAAGTTATTTAAAAAGTAGAGTGTAAAAACACATGAAAAACATAAATACTAAATACTGCAAAGAAAATTATGAAGTAAAAAAGGTACTAAATACTATAAAGAAAATTATGGAGTAAAAAAAATGAAAACTAACTCCATGGCTTCATGAGGTTTCCTTTTTGTCTCTTGTTTTTTATTCTTGTCATTTTGATTTTACTTGTTTTGTTATTTTGGACAAATAAAGAATTTTGGTATTGCTATGACTAAGCAACATTAGTAAGACTTGAATTTTAGCTGCAATATAGTGAAGGTGATGGAAACTTAGCAATTGCATGCTATGTAATAGACTTGCCAAAAGTCTCTAATTATAGGTTTTTGGAGAGTGCCACCAGCGTCGGTATATATCGAGAAACTTTTATGCGAATTAAATCTAAGAAAAAGTATACTATGAAACGCCAAGCAAATAGGTAATATGGAACACCATTGGTGCCAAAAAAGATTTTCCCAGCTTTTTTACTGATTAAGACAAAGATTAGGGACTAGAACCCAGTCTAGATGTAATTGTAAGCCGACCCTCAGTTCATTTTTCATTCATCTACCTTGAGTAATATCATAGTAATTCAGTGATTGAGAGCAAAAATTGTTAATGCATTTCACATTAATTTTTGCATTTAACCAACTGCAGCTGGTATAAACGCTTTAGAAAAAAATGCAACTTGCGTTTATATAGTGTATAGTCTTCCATCCATTAATAACTCTAAATGGTAATTTATAACAAATTTACTATTTACTATTTTTAAAAAAAAAATTCATTTTTCCATGGACAGCAAAAACAATAATATCTGAAAGAATGATCTCAAGCCTAAGAAGAGATGGGAACATCAAATAAGGCAGAAATACATTACATTCATTTTACTTTTATTTTTAAAAAAATATTTTTATTTACTATTTTCCAGGTTGTTTACCATTTATAGTTAGGATGGTAAATATCAAACAGTAAATACACTCACCAAAAAATGCATTAAATTCAAGTCCGGACGTGCAACTAACAGTTAATTTTATTTCGCCTAAAGGTACTTGGGTACGACTGCTGCAGTAGTCGTACCCAAGCTTGTATGGAATTCGGCATAGTTATGCTGCGAGTTATTATCACTATCACACTATCACATTTTCTTTGACGAAAAACTGTAATATGCTCATATATAGCCATGAAGTATATAATATGTAGTTTTCGCCGCACGACGTTAACCTTAAATTAAACATTAGTACCCAACATGCAGCACGATAGCTCCGCCCATTTTGTAAACAAATCGAAATACGCGTGCTTAAACCCGTAACTAGCGTACGTCGAGTACGTAAAATCCTGAAATTAACGTACTCTGCAACGCAAGATGAATAAATTATGACGTTATCTGTTAAAGTTAACGTCGTGCGGCAAAAACTGCCTACTGTATGGTCGTGACGTTTGCCATCACGACAAAATTTGATAGTCTGGACAGGGCGGCTTTATTGTTGAACTATGTGATACCATTACAATATTTAACATTTGTTTTTATAAATGTAGTTTATCAAAAAAAGCATTAGGTCTGTTGAAGCATGTTCTTCTTGAGGGTCCGCCAGGTTTCATTCCACTGCAGTGTGCGGCCATTTTACAGGAGTACGGCCCAACACCTGAGCTCATCATTGACAACTTTAGCCCACCTGTGAATCCAAAGAACATGGCCTCCATTCTATCAGTTTCAATGTGCCAGGTGAGAAAAAACCAAAAACCTGGGGCGGATTGCTATAAGCGGTCTTTAGACGGTTAGCCGGCTATAATCGTGACGTCACTACTGGTCTATGATTATAGACCATTGCTATACCGCGGTCTAACCAGTTAGCCATCTTAAATTTTAAAGCCTACTCGGAGGAGGCTTAAGATGATCTTAAATCATTTTCATCATGGCGTTCTGCTGAATAATTCAACAGTGCAATGGCAAGACCTAGGCCTAGATCGACAAAGTCTCAGAATCGAATGACGAATACTCCGCACACTTCTCAGCATCTGTCAAAATACTGTCTGTCTACGTCGTTTATTTACGTTCATTTCGATACATTTGCGTGCACGAGCACGCATGACACCACCCTCAATCTTACGTTACCAGGGAGTGCTTGTTTGCGTTTCAATACTCAAAGCGGTCTTAGGGAAGACTGTTTTATAGCAATGGTCTTAGAGGAATGACTTTAGTAAGGCTGTCTAAGTGATAAAGCCGGCTTTATTCGAGGAGTTAAGAATACCAGTTGAGACCGTTTTATAGCAATTCGTCCCTGTTGATTATATTTGGGCTGGTGAAATACCGTTGAACTTGCCTAAGTCGAATCCAAAATGGCATTGAAAAATTGTTTGACTTCTAGATAAAATTTGACTTACTGATTGTTAATTAATGGAAAACAAAACAGTTTTGCATGTAAAGTCCACTTAAAAATTTGAGTTAATATGCAAAGTCGACTTAAGCAAGTTTTACTATATTATCAAGAAATCTTGTTATATTTAAACTGTATCATTTGTGTTGATAAATTTGGTACTGTAATAATAATTGTTTTAATTACAAACTTTACTGTAGACACAAAATGAATGTTGTGACTGAAAGTCATAGCCACGTTTCACCTTAAACATAAAGTATATTTTTTATTAAAATCATTTTTCAAACATTTCCTTCCATTGGATTTTTTTCTTGCTATTTCCTTAAGTTTATGAAAATCAACAATATTTTCTAATTTAAGCCTTAAGTATTCTTTTTTTATATCAGATTTAATTTTTGAGTAATAATAATAATCAATAGCATAAAAATTATAATAGAACAAATAGATATTGATAAAGATTTTGACTGTTAGCTACATGATTTTAATGGACTTTCTGTAAATTTTTTATAGATTGTTGCTCTGACATTACATTTTCGTTGAACCTTTACAAATTTTTTATCCTATTTTATACCTTCCAACTTATACAGGCAATGCACAAAAAACATTAAACAGAGGCACAGAAAGAAGAAGGCTAAGAAGGGGCAAAAGTTGTACAAAATCTACTATCACAGGAAATCGTGTGCCACTCCAACTGTAAAACACTAAACAACAAGTAAAATTACTTAATGTTGGACCAAAAAAAAATGTGTTAGTCAAAATAAACTGTGGTTACACATTTTTATGAATTTTATAATACACACAGGTTTAAATTTAATAATTACCACCAATATTATACAAGGTAAACAAATTAAGGATTTAAAAAATCAGCAAACAGAAAGGGGGGGGGTTAGAATTTATCCTAGCCATCCTTATGGCATAGATATTAGCGTGTCTATTGACCATTTTGTGATTGTTTTAGTGTGTACAGTATACTGTAATCTAGTTCTTTAATAAAGAATTATGGGACATTACATCAGGTACCAACGATCTACAGACAATTCAAACTTGCTTCAAAGCACAAAACCTTCAATCACTTTTATTTATGAACATTTGAAATTATTCTTCGATTATACTGTAGGGAAGAGACTATGGACATCTTGATAAGCTGACAAGCCAGTTTGTCCGTTGGGTGTCAACGATGGGCTTTGAGTATGTCATCCAAACCAGAGCTCTTGGCGCCCTCATTATAATCGCTAGTCTACACCATGATCTATTATCTGGGGGTAAGATGAATATATATTAGCATAAATATACATTGTCCGATGAGAGATAATTATAAAAATAGAGTTTTTTAACTAGCGTATCAAAACTTTATTAAAAAACATGTCCTCATCCTGAATGGACCTTCCTAAAGTGTCAATCAAACTTAACCGCCCAATCAAAACTGGGCGAGGAAGATGCGCGTATCGTACTATGCACTTTCCGTCCCAACATCAAAGCTGTTTTGATTTACAGGACGAAGCGCTCCCTCGTATCACGTGATCAATTATGCAGGCGCCCCCAGCGAGCACGTATTTATAAACTCGCGTTGCCGTAGTCAACACAACGCCAAATCGCTTAAAGCCCGTTGTCAAATCCTCACAACGAACGACTTCCCCATGTACTCGCATGCGCAGTACGGTTTCACGCTACACTGCCCGCCGTAGAACGCCGCGTCGTCCAAATCGAAAGCTGCTTACTATCCAAGGGGGAGGGGAGGAGAGTTTAGCGAAATGTCTGTTTGTAGATTAAATTATGACAAAAGTCTCATGCTTATCGGTGGCAGTTTGAACCTATCATCATTAAATATCATCCATTGTGCATGCCTTGTGGCGTTGCGTTCTCCATAGAATCGCGTCGTCCGACGACCATCCAATGCAGTGACCGCCCAGCTTTAAGAATCTCTCGTATATAAAACTTTAAATAATTTGATATTTTCTTAAATATTTGTTTCCAGAACAAATGTATGTAATCAGTTCACAAATATCTGATTGGCTATCAGAAGCTAGCATTGACCAGGCTCCAAATCCTTACACAAGACGGTCAAGACGCCCCGAACAGGTGAGTATCGGTTTTATTTTTGTGCAAATATGAAAAATATATTTTTTTTAAACATGTTTCACCTTGCTGTGAAAAAGTGCTAATGTTTGGTAACTCTAATCAGGAATTTGGAGGGATTTTCGCAGACGGAGGCAGGGACGGATTTAGAGGGATGCCGATGGGCCCCCCTCTTTTTTTGGATAGTCAAAAAAAAAGAAAAAGTTGATTGTCCAAAAGGCCTCATAGGATATTTTCGGGCATCTAAAACATTGGAATTTCACCTTCTAGGGTACAGTTATCTCGATCGTCCCCACTTTTGGTCCCCCTTCCGCTCTCCTCCCCCACTTTTGGACATCTCTGGGTTCGCCCTTCGGAGTATCTAGACCACTTCATCTTCAGCCACTGCTAATGGTAACATTTTAAAATTTCTAACTACAAGATAAAAATTAATATTGAATTATCAACTAATATGGATATATTGCAATGAAATATGACCCAGTTTTTAGGTGACCCAATATGAGTATACTGATAATCAAATATTGGCACATGACTTGAAATAGGATCTGGTGTTAATAAAAAAACCAATATTGATTTATGACTTTATGTTCATATGAACCGCAATTGTCATATCACCAAATCTCAATACATCACCAGACTGTAAAACTCTGTCCAGACTATCAAATTTTCTTTGTTGTATGCCCATATATAGTCATGATGTGCCTATATATGGTCATGGTGTGATGACATCATGACCATATTTAGACATGTCATGTGTCTGTCAAACAAAATTTGGTAAGTGTGAGCGGTACTTAATGTAGACAAGTATAGAATATCAAATAATTCATTATTGAACTGAATACTGCTATTATTTGTGATTTGATCATCTAATGATCATCATTCTTTTTGTGCTTTTGCATTGTTGACCTTTTAGCATTATGATGCCCTCTATTTTACGTCCTACTTTGTCACTTTTCACCTAAAACAGTAAATTACAGTTGAACACTACAAGTGACACATGACCTGAGTCCTATATTGACATGACCCAATATTTAATAATAATCCCAGGGGTCCCAACCTTGGCAAGTTCATAATATTTGCATGTTTTTACTAGTGCATTATCAATTGACTCATAGAAAACAGTGCACATGGGCATCACATGCGCAAAAAAATAAAGTTAGGCTACGTTCAGAACCTGAGAGATACGCCAGATGTACGTTAATCCATGGCGTAACTAGTGAGATGTCCAGACTGACTGGGCGATTAATGAATCCTACTGTAGTGTATTGTATTCGCGCGAAATATTTGTATTTCGTAATCGCGCATTTTACTTCCTGCATATATCTAGGCTTATTGTGATTTGTCAATTCCTGGCTTAGTTTAAAACTATTGATGCATGACTGTTGTAACTCAGGGGCGTGCGCTAATCTGGGGTCTGTTGGTGTATTATCGTACACTAGTGATAAAAAATACTGGCGTTCTCTGCGCCGTGCACAAGTTCACATCACTCGATTAACATTACTCTAGCTTAAATTTGTTGTGTCTGAACACAGCCTTAGATATGTTTGAAAAGGAAGCTTATTTAACCAGATATCTGGGAAGTAACTTCCTCTAGTTTGTGGACCCTTCTAACCCAGTATTAACATATGGCTATATATTAAACTCATAGTCAAATATTGATGTTGATTTTTTTTTTAGCCACTTCCTGTGACAGAGATAGATGGAGCTGCTTGCCAAGACTTCTTCACTATTCTCAGCTTAGGCCAGTACTACTCTGAGGACCAACTCCTCAACATATGGAGCTTCTCCAGCCTCAAAGCCTGGCTGATAGACACCCATCTAAAACTCAGCAGTGCTTCCTCTGGTCAGCCCCAGAAAGTTAGCCAAGAGACAAGAACGTTTCTTAGCAAAGCGAAGCTAGCACTGATAGAGAGAGCATGCGAATACTGCCTTAGAGTCATAGACCAGTCTGAGAGAAGTAAGTTTATTACAGTATATTTTCCTCTATAATGTTACTTTATTATGTTGCATACCTATGTGTTGAACTTAATGAGGAGTAGATTTTTCTGTAATGTTTTATGATTTTAATATGAGAAAGAAGTAAATAAATGTTATTTTTAACTTAAGTGGTAATGGAAATGGTCTCCCATTTCTTTCATCTCTATGCCCTCTATGGCCCAAAGAAAAACAAAAAAAATAAAACAAAGATGAGAAGCTCTCGACATGAAACAAAACTTTGAGGCGTGAGTGGCGTTTACTTCTTCAATATTTCATCCAATCACCGCTAACGATATTTTGATGATATTGACAAAGACAGTGTTACCATGTGGTGACAATGATGACGGTGAATCTGATAATGATAGTTACAATGATGATGGTGATGATAATGATGATTTTAATAGGACCAAACAATAATTCATGTTGCCCAAACACAGGTCAGTTTCATTTAGAAAGGAGTTCTGGTTGGCAATTTTTTCAATAAAAAAAAAAGGCCTAGGCCTATTTCTATGATCCCATTGACAACAGTCCTATGTTCATAAAATTGTAACACAGGGCTGAAATCAAGACTACAGCAAATTTATTATTAAATGCTTAAAAAGTGGCCCTTGGCAACATTATATAATTTTGGGCTCTTTTTTGGTAACAATCATTGTATATTTTTTTTGGGAATAAAAAACAAATCTGACACTAGGGCCTAGATTTTTTTAATTTATCATCATTTTGGGTTGGGCAATACAAAGGGGTTTTATTGGCCTAGTTAAATCAGATGGTATAATGATGATGATAATGATGATGATGATGTTGATTATGATGATGATGACAATGATCATATACTCATTAAGCATATGCTTGATGAGTATATGATCATTGAGAATGATAACAATGATGGTGGTGATTGTATGGTGATGATAGCAATGATTTAATAGTCAAGATTAAAGTGATTGTGATTTAATAATAGTATCATATGATTATTATAGTATTGTTTGGTGGTAAAGGAGAATGATGATGATGATGACCTTTGGGTCGGTGACAATAAGGACTGTAACATCAATGGTAAACTTAATGATGATGAACATAACACAATTTATATACAAAAGTCCTAACAAATATATTCAATTTTACTAGCTGCAATTCACAGCAATTGGCAGTCACCAAATGACCAATCAGGTATGAGTATTGTGTGTAGCTTGTGCTCCGCTGTAAAAAATTTGCATTTACTAAAACACCCAACCCACCTGCTTTATAATAAATATATGGTCAAAGAGGTAGTGGAAAATATAAATACAAATATATTATGTAAATGATGTTAATGGTAGATATTAATTTGTTTTTTAATTTGCAAATATGTTACTTTGCATTTTTATAGTGTATTGTAATTTAAATAAACATTTAAAAAAAACTGAAATAAAATTATGATTTTGTGATGCTGATGATGTTGAATTTGATAATACATTAGCGATGTTGATGATGGTGATGATAATGATGAGATGATGATAGCAATTATGATCAGGAGAATAATATTGATTTGAAGCTCTATGATAGAGTGAATTATGTAATGATAGTCATTGTGATAATGTAGATGATGATTTTTTTTTTTTTAACAAGAGACTATTCAGGGGTCCTTTATAAAAACAAGTCCTTAAAGACCTGGGACCACTGACTTCCTTACTTAATATTATTAAGCTTATGTAAAAACACAAATTTAAACAGAAAAGCAATTTTTACTATAAATATACTTTTGAACACTTAAATTTAGCATGATAAAATTAGTAATGATTATTCAAATGATAATGTTGTTATCTTTAATCATGTCTCTGATGATTATGATGATAATGATTACAAAACTGGTTGTTGGAATATCTTTATTGTATCTAAAATATATACTAACAATTTGTGTCAAAAAATATTCATATTAATGGTAATAGAAGATGCATAGAAGCAAAAATAATATATACTAGGAAGATGCTTATTGGTGTATTGGTATTTCTCAAATTTAGCATATAGACAGTAACATTGTTAAAAGATATTGTATTAATTACATAGTAAACATAGATTACATTAATACTTAGCATAGATACCCATTGTAATTTTTGTGTATTTATTATCAGTTTAACAATACTGTATTTAATGTGTTTTTTTGCATGGCTATCGTTTTTGAACAGCTTTATATTAATGAAGTGGCTTTTCGTTGATGTACAATAGTATCATGCATTGCTTGTCCATCCTTTCTGTGAGCTTTTAAAACTGAGCTGAACAAATGAAAAACTACATTGAATTCCGCAGCTAGTAATAACTTTCGTAATACTCAACATAATGAAAGATTTTAACTAAATTATTCAGAGCATTTCATCCTCCAGAAGGCGCTATTGCTAATTAGAATGGGGTGTATAACGTTTATATTAGACAAATCATTGATAAGGTTTGCATTGTAATATTTAAGTGGAAAATGATCCTCAAAGAAATTTTCGTAAATGAGTACAACATTTTGGTTTAGGTTCACACTAACTGTTAGCACTAACCGTTAGAATGCCCGATCGGTTAACCGTTACCAGAATCTGGATACGCTAATGGTTAGTGAGTGCTATCGGTTAGCAAATTGAGCGCTTTTCTATCATTAACAAATCCCATGTACATATTTCAATTTCTAGTTTCCTATTTGCCAGTGATTCCATCATCATCCTCTTGATATCTTAATTTGGTATTTTCTTAACGCAAGGGTGAGCGCGTATATTATTATCTGGATTCTGCTAACCGTTAGCTGGTGTGAGGGTGTGTGTGTGTGTGTATGTGAGTATGAACCTAGACAACATGATTATGATACTAATGTCATGATGCTAATTACATTTGTGGCAAAGACAAGCCAAACCAGTCACTCGTCGCAAATCTTGTTTCAGAGATAATGGCCAAAACATGCTGAAATGTCAAAATTTTTGAAACTATTTCATTGCACTAAACTAACCTTTATATATTTATACATCGTGCTATGCTGTTATTTTCCCCATTTTCAATGTTAAGACAATAATTTTTACCAATTTGGTGATGGTTTCTGCCTAAGAAATGCCTGAAATCACACACTTTGATGGTTGATTTCTCAAATATTGTACTTTAAACAGCTGTAAGTTTAAGTGCTTCTAACTTCATAAGGAAATGTCGGATTTAAATTATTCTTTTACCATTATATATCTCTCATTTTCATCTTTAATAACTAAAAGTTATTTCTGACGAGTGACTGGCTTGGCTTGTCTTTGCCACAATTACTTATCATGAATTTTACATTAAAAATGTGCTCACTGCATGGATTTAGTGTGATTTTATTAAAGATGTATTGTCCCATAAAAAATACCCAAAAATATCATAAAAATGGTTTTTGAAATTACCTAGCTCATTTTGAAGTATAATAAAAATGATTAACTAGAACATGGAAATGGGTGTATTTTAAAGGTATTTACCCATAATTTTACAGGAAAAAAATGATATAATTTTTATCATTTAAAAAAATGTGTATTCTCATTTTTATATGGATAATGATATAATTTTTATCATTCTATATAAAAATCAGAGTACACATTTTTTTTAAAATTCAGTAATTCTTATGCTCAAATTAATAATTTGTATGTTACTGCAAAAGGAGCAAGTAAATTTCAAAATTATTTATTTATGTTTTTTTTTGTTTTTTTTGTTTTTATTTTCAGGGGACAATACATCTTAAATACAGAATTATTATCCTTGTTTTTATGTTGGTTGTTGCAGTCTTGTGTTTAGAAAGAGTAAATTAGACTAAAGCTCTTTCCAGATTGTCACATTTTCTTGACAAACAAATTCTCGTAATCTTGAAACCTCCGATGAGGGCAGTATAATAGAGGCAGTAGAGTGTGTTGCCCAGTTACGGCCGCCCATACAAAAAAGATCTATTACTCAATCAAACAATCAATCAGCTGAATATTCCTAGAGCTCCTTTAAAATTACACAATAACTATGGCTAGTTGGTCTGCAGGCATGAATGTACCTTGTGTCAGAAGTACCTGGTTCAATTCTCTAAAAATTTTAAAAAAAGCGCAGTTAATCAGCAAAAAAAGCAAAGTCATTCAGCCGTGAAAAAAAGCAGTCAATCAGCAAAAAAGCACAGCCAAGCAGCAGGGTATTCTTAGAACTCCTCATCATAGCTAAAAACTGTTGCATAGCCATATATAGTCATTGTGTGGTATCATCATGACCAAATATAAGCATGTTACTTATTTTTGTCAAATGAAATTTGATAGTCTGTCCTTAGATTTACAAATGCTTGCCAACCGATGCGATCAGTTAGGGCATGCAGCCAGTAATTAGTTTCTCAGAATATTTAGGTTGATATATCTACCCATTCATCAAGTTTGTCTTCAGCTTATGTGAAGTTGTCTGTTGCTAAAAAAAATTCTTTGAAAAATGAAAAATAGTTTTTATGAAAAACATATATATTTTATCCACTGTGTTTGATATAATTAATTTAAATATTTTTATGTCGCTTCCATTTATAACATAATATTTAAAGAGGATTCTTATGTTTACATTATTTTATGACATTTTCCCTCATGTCTTTTGTCATACTGTACTATATTTATAATTTTTTTTTTTTGTATATGGTCCTTCATTTTAAAATTTTATAAGTGCAATTTTTTTTTAATTTTTTACAATTTTGAAATTCTCCATTTTGGCCTGTATATTGCATTTTTTCCCCCTGCTTTTGATGGAATTTTATATAATTGTCTATCTTTAGATATAAGTGCAGTTTGTTTTTTGCATGTCTTTTGGACCCTAATGGAATTAAGTATTTTACTTTTTTTGAACATCCATTTAACCCGAGTATTATTGTTGCACACTGTTGCCTTGTATGTATTTGACTGGTTAATAAATAAAATCAATCAATCAATCAATCAAGCTCTGTCCAGATTATAAAATTTTCTGTGACAAAAAACTGTTGTATGCCCATATATAGTCATGATGTACATATATATGGTTATGATGTGATGTCATCATGATCATATTTAGGTATGTCACATGATTTAGGTATGATCACATTACAGAATGAGACTACATTCATAAATGAAAATATTAAATTAGTTGCCATTTATCAGAGGTATTAAAATAGTGATCTACAGTATTATATGCCAATCACAAGATAGGGAGTTAAGAATGTTTAAATTTTAATAATATTTTAAGGTCACTGCAGTACAGTAACCCAGTTGTGTTGCTCCTTTCCTCCTTTTTTTTGCTATATTTTGTTTTTTAATATTTGCTTTTGCATTTTTTTTTAATTTGTTTTGCTTTGCCCTTATTCATCTTCAGGCTTTTTTATGTGTAAGATTTTAATTCAAATTTTGTTTGCACAAAATTAACTTTTGCTGTACCATTATGTGTACAAGTCAAAATGAAAGCTACCAACTTTTGAAAGTCACATTTCACCACCATCAGTTAAATCTCATTAACAGACATGTTCTATGGGTTGCATCTTCTACACTCAGCAGGAAATGATACAGTATATCTGGTAGACCTCCTGTAGTGAAATACATAGTATTTTTATGTTGATTCTTTTGTTTTTTCTCAAATTCCAAAAAACTGAATTAGGATATCACTCACTTATTTTCAGTGACCCTTCACCACTAACTGCTGAAACCACTATTAATGGTGAAAAGTGGGTAACATTTTCTGGGAAGCTGGATAAGTCATGATGCTGATATGTATAAAAAAAAATACTTGTTTAGCATCACATCTCTTTAACATTTTAGGTGGGTGAGGGGCATTTTTTTTAGTCAATCTACAGTATCAGTAATACAAAAAAGTGTTAAAATTAATCATTTTCAATAGGCCTACAATATACATTACACCTGGTTGGTGAAATGGTTGTTTTAATTCACTTAAAATAGGTCTATACTTAATTTTGCTTAGCATTTCCTGGATAATTTTTTTTTTAATTAAAAAAGAAATTCCCGCATCTAAAATTTAAATTTTTGCTTGAAAATTCAGGTGTGGGTGGTGATGCTAAACAAGTTTTTTTATTTTTTTTATTTGGCTTTTTCTGCAAATTTTAAATATGTTTTTTTTTTTTTCATGCTTTATCTGAAGAGATATATTCCATGACTTAAGCCCAATGAGTCTTAAAATCAATGGTTTTTTTAATTGGCAAAATATTTGTTTTAATGGGAAGCCAAAAACACTTTATGATCTTTGGAATGCTTTAATTTAAAAAAAATTGATTTGGATAGCTCTGTTGTTACAATTACAGCCAAAATCGGGTGAATGATGGTTGACAAAGAACCCTATAATTATGCCAACAATTGATGACCTATTGTAAAAATAAAAGACCATGATGTTTCTTTGTTCCTCAGTGAAAAGCCATATTTTTACCTTATTTGTTTTAAGGGCAATGTTATTTTTTTGATTTTCATTTCTTATTATTTTCTGTGGATCCTTTTGACCAGCCTTGTAAAATATGATCGTTAAAGTTTTTCTTATCAGTTATGTCTTATGTCTTCTTTTTTTTTCTAGGACCATTGAAAGTGCATGATCAAGAATTAGTTGAAGCAGTAAGTAGGTTTACTTGCTTAATCCCTATTTCATGAGATATTAAAAGTAAAAGTAATGATTTTACGAAGTCCATTTAAATCATCTAAAATTTCCACAAGTTCTTAGATTAATATTAATTAAAAATGTTGCTGTTTGCGAAATTAGTACATTTCCCACTGCATGAAAGAAATATACAATGGGTTGTTCTGTGAGCAGTATTCCTATCTGCAACAGCGCCCTCTTTGATCAGTTGGAAGTTGGTTATTGTGTGTTCTTTACTTTTACCATATTGTACACTACTTGGTTGCCTTAATTTAATCTTAGAGCTTCCTACTGTATTATATTGTATAAATACTTGGGTTCAACACTAGTACTAAATCATGGAAAAATTCCATATTTTATGGATAACACTTTATTATCAATAACATAACATCAACTGCCTCCAAGCCAGATGACGTGACCTGTCCTGTGCTCAGGCTTATGGGATGGCGAAGGTGATATGAAATTATTTTTAATTGCTTAATTGTGAGTATTTCTATGCGGATGGAGTATATACACCCAAGATTGGTAGGAGTGCCCACACTAGGCTACATTCTCCACATTTAACTATCTTCTATTTAAGAATTATATTTTATTTTTCAACAAAGAGGACAAGTTTCTTATTAGAAAAAAAAAAAGCAAAAACATGTTTTTATCAAGATCCCTTTTCAATCTTAGTGTTTAGTTGAAGCTATATCAATTCTTGATGTTGTCTGCAAGCTAGACTCCTCAATGATACCTAAGCTCTTTCCAGCACTGAAGAGAGTTTATGCTAGAATCAGTGATGACATTGGTCAACCGAGGGTGCTGTGTACAATAGTTCAATTCTATTTAAATCATTGTGAGTTTATCTAGTCTTATATTTTATTATCATATGTATACTTTCTACTCTTTTTAAATCAAACTTTGAATTCCTGTTTGCTTGTTTGATTTTTATTTTTCTAAATTCAAATTATACTTGTAAATTAAATTGTATTGTATTTAGAAACTTTGTTCATCATCATTGATAGCATTATAAAGTCTTCACATAAAACACTTACAAATCATTTACACAAGTTAGCTAATTTTTTCTTCCCATTTTAAAAAAATAGGGGAAAAAATTAAATAGAAATGACTAAATAGTATAAATATAACTCTCACTCCTTTCCTATAGCAAATAATTGTTTGAGATCACTATAACAAACTATTCTAGAGGAACCAACATGTTTTCATATTGTGTTACCTAGGTGATGCTGTGGTGTATGATCCTCAGAAGGCCTTTGACCTGTTCTTTGGTAAATCTATTAGTATGCATTATTACGACCATGCTGTAGCATTTGATGCTATTATGTTGTGTAGGGACAACATGAAAAGACTTTGTCATAACACCAATATCCTGGAAAAATACTTTCCAAATCTTCTGAAGGTGAGTTAAATGCTCTTTATGTGACAAATAATTGTCACATGCCCATATTTAGATGTAGTATGACACTATCATGCCCATATACTGTATGATCACATTTACACAAATTTCTTACTTATAAAATGTGATATAGTGTGGACAGACCCAAATGGTTGTTTCATTATCATTGACAAAGTTCCCATTGCAGGCCACTACCAACATCATTACCATCACCACTACCATTACCACCGACATTATTACTGTCACCACTGGCATCATTACCATCACCACCACCATCATTACCATCACCAATACCATCACCACCGACATATTACTGTCACCACTGGCATCATTACCATCACCACCACCATCATTACCATCACCACTGCCATCATTACCATCACCACCAGCGGCGTCATTACCATCACTACCACTATCATTACCATCACCACTGTCATCATAACCATCACCACCGCCATCATTACCATCACCACTGTCATCATTACCATCACCACAATGGTCAACGATCATATACCCAATGGTCATCATCACCACCACTACCACCATGATGATCATTGAGTGTTGTTCCAGTCAGAGCTTTTCAATTATATATTAAGATCATCATCGTCATCATCATTGTCTTCATCATCATCATCATGTTCTGATTGGTCAGTTGACACTCTAGAAAGGTTAGTTTCTTGGCAAGGTAACCATCCTAGTATTATGAACCTTACCATGGCAATCATAAAAATGAAGTATTCATTTATAAGAATGATTAAAAATTGTTTTTAAGATTTTAGCTTGGAACCCAAGAACATTTTTATCAGAGTTCTTTGATCTGCTGCCATCATTCCTGTCACCAACAACTGCCCTCGAGGTCTTCCACACTTTGCTTGATCTACCTTGCCTCAGTGCAGCATTGGAAGCAAGCCATCTAGCAGCCAAGGGAGCCAGTGAGACTGTGGCTGAGGCAGGGATAAGACTAGCCTGTGTTGATGCCTTCCAGAACCCAGATCATCGGCCTTGGTTTAATTTCATCCTACGACACCAAAGTGGACAGGGGGATACTATAAATAGGTAAGTAAGATTTTACTCTTGTAGGTCTACAATTTGATTTTAAATCACAATATGATAAATTTGTTTTATATATAAAATGGTGTTAATAAGTTGCCCAGTGGGGAAAAAATAATGTGTAGCATTGGTAACAATAATATGAGCTGCTGTCTGAGCCCATCATTGGGCTAAACCATCCTAATTTGGCAGTGGATGTTCTCAATGCACTGCAGTACATTTTTTTGTTTAAGGGGGTCTAGGTGGAACCCATACATAAATGCTGAGAAATTAGAGACATCCCTCATAAAAACACAACAGCAGAGAAGTATTATTATCTTCACTATTATTACTATATTAAATATTATCACAGTATTATTAATAGTACTGTATTATAATTATAATTATTATTATTATTTTTATTATTAATTATTATTATTATCATTATTATTATTATTATTATTGTTACTAAAACCTACCTTAAGCAGGGGCGGATCCAGAGATGTCCAAAAAGGTGGGGGGACAGAAGTGGGGTGGTTGAGAAAACAATATCCCATTAAGGGGTCCGTGGGCATGTCCCCGCGAAATTTTTGTGTTGTAGACGCCCGAAAATAACCTCTAAGGCCTGAAGTTTCCATACCGTAAAACCTCGAATTGAAGCCCTGGGCTTCTTCTTTTCTTTGCGAACTTTGGATGGGCTTCTTTTCAAGATGGGCTTCTGTTCGAGACTACTTTTGCAAAGTAAAGAGGGTGCTTCTTTTCAAAACAAATGCTGTAAATTTTGTGAATTTGTAGTATAAAACAAGAAATAAAGCCACTGTAACATCAATTTTCTCTATCATGGGGTGTATTTAACTGGCATTAAATCACCTAAACTACTGTATAAACTTGCTTGTATTTAGTTGTTTTCTGAAATTGATGTACAGAGTATGTAACTGTAATATATTGAAAAGAAACTTTTGGCTTCTTTTCGAGGCTAATTTTGCAAACTAATAAAGGGGGGCTTCAATTCGAGATGGGCTTCATTTCGAGATTAAGCCTACTTGGCTTCAATTCAAGGTTTTATGGTATATTGCAATGAATAAAATTTCTTTGTATCTTTGTAGTTATCAGCTATGGAATTATCTACATTTAATTTGTGAAAGTAGGAAAATCATTCATTTAAGCAATAACAAAGTAGAGTATACAGACATAAAGCAAAGACAATTTCAAATATTCTCAGTGGACCAATCATCATCTCAGAATAAAGATTAAGGAGTTTCTAGCCTCTTCATTCTAAAAGCAAACCATTGTGATTGTGGTGTTGGTTTGATGTATCTTTGCAGGCTAGAATATCTTCATCAGATGTTGGAAGAATTGAAGCACCATCCTAGAGTTAACATATGTTCACAGGGCGTACCTGTTCTGCTCAAGTAACTATAATAACTATTTTCATTATAATTGTCTACCAAAATAGATTTACAGTAATTTCAATTAAAGTTCAAATATCAGTTCAAATGTGTTCTCATGCACTCTATGAAATCAGATTTACAACTTGTGGATGTTTTTATATATATATATATATGTTTTCTTGATGGTGTCTTATCATGTTTGCCTTTAAGCACCATGTTTTTATTTAACCTATAGTTGTGTGTTTTGTTTTTTTTTGGTGATCTCTGGGCAAAAGTGTTAATCTGATTGACACTTTTGCTCAGAGTATTGAGATTTTGGTATATTCATAATTCATAATTTGATTTCACTCAAAACTCAAATGTAAAGAATCTGGTAGACAAAAAGCAAGTGTCCCTGTACAAGAGAATACCAAAGGGTCTCATCTTTGCTAAGGCCTGAAATAATACTTTTGTGTCCGTTTGGACTTTGTGATTTTCTTGGAAATAAAGATTTACCGATTTAATGATTATTAATGTGTGTGTTAGTTTTTGTTACTATTTTTCTACCTCCATGCTTTTACCAAATACAGGAATAAAATATCTTAAATGTTGTGATATTGGTTTTCATGTTTTTTTTTAGTCTGTACTTTGAAACAATCTTGGAGCATGGAGATTATTCATTACTGTGTCAACTAACACCAGTAATTCTGGAGAGGGCAGCACTCTTGTTCAATACACCTTCATATCACAAGGAAGTCAGAATGTAAGTTACTAAAGGGTATAGTCTATAAAATTTCATTTATAAAAACATGTGACATGCCTGAAAATAGTATTGATGACATTACATAATGTCCTAAGCACATCGTGACTATATATGGGCATGATGACATCACATCATGACCATATATAGGCACATCATGACTATATATGGGCATACAACAGTTATTTGTCTAAAGAAAGTATGATAATCTGGACATAGCTTTATGAGTGTCTTCAAGTCCAAGCAGCTACTTTGCACCATGGATCTGCACCTCATTTTGTTTTTGCCATCCTGAGACCTAAAACATCTGTCATGATTCACTCTGATCCCTTCCTTGAATTCCCCTGTCCAAGTGTCTCTTGTCCTTCCTACTCCTCTTTTCCCAACAATTTGACGCTCAAAGGGTAGCCACGGAGACCAGTCTCTTCTTGCTTTCTTCTTTTTATTCCATTCACATTTATTTTCCTCTCCAGTCTTCCTTCTGCTCCAGTCCTCATTATTAACTTTGCCTGCCATGTGAACACTCTCATGTGTCTCTATATTTCAAAAGTTGCCAACTTGTCTGTCATTTTTCTGCTCAGAGTTTATAAATCTGACACACATTAGAGAGCCCGCCCCTCATAGCATTGTGATAGATGGCTTCCTGGTAAAATTAGTTTATATATTTTAATAGATATAAACTTTTTTTTTTAGAGTGTTGCAGGATGCACTGCTAAACCTCTTCAGACAGAGTCCAAGCCTCGTGATCGACTGCGAAGCTGAACTGATTGAGTTTGTGGGAAATTTGCGTTACATCTCTGGCAAGGAGGATTTCTTCTTGCATGTTGTGTGGAGCATCGGTGAGTATGTCAGTATCGGCTATGACAAACGCAATACCGCCGATATTATCACCAAATACTACGAGGCCTTGGAAACACTGCTGTATGAAGTGGTCATGTGCTTTCAGTCGTCCAATCAGGAAGAACAGTACAGCCCAAGACTGGTTACAGTTATGATGTCAGCTGTTACCAAGGTAACTTTGAGTCACTGATTGATCAAAATGTAACCAGTTTTCTGTCTTAAATTTTAAAGCCTATTCGGAGGAGACTTAAAACCGTCTTAAATCATTTTCATCATGGCGTAATACAGGTACTAGGCCTAGATCAATCAAGACTAAGAATCGAACAACGAATATTCCCAGAGCTTCTCAGCGTCTGTAAAAACCGGTGTTCTGTTTATTTACATTCATTTTGATAAAGATGTATGTTTTGAACAAGCGTAAGAGCATCCTCAATTTTATGTTACCAGGGAGTGGTATACTCAAATATTCAAAGCAGTCTAAGCGAAGACAATTTTATAGCAATGGTCTTAGCAGAGTGACTTTGCTTTGTCTACACTATCCAATTTTATCAAAAAAGCGTCACATAAAATGTGATGGAAAATAAGAGTTGAACACGTTCAACTTTTTTTGATACAATTGGACAGTATGTGATATGACGTCATCGTGCCCATATATGGTTACATCACATTTTTTTGTCACATAAAATTTGATAGTGTAGAAAAAGCTTAAGACCATCGAAGTGATAAAGCTGGCTTTAGTCGAAGAGTTAAGACTACCAGTTAAGACCTTTTCATAGCAATCCACCCCTGGTTCCTCAGCGTGTCACATTCAGTGTGGATCATTAGGAGGTTCTAAATTGCTGTTAACCTGGGCACATACTGAACTGATGGTAGCCAGTGAACGCTGATTCATAGAGAACGCAACATGAAGATGCATAAGCAACAGGTTGCTTTTAATGACAAACGTACTCAGACTACCTTCGATAAACAGCTGACAGTTTCAAATCATTTAGAGATTACGGGGAGACGAATTCATAGACTAACAATGTGTGCCTGGCTTCTCTGTCACTGTCGCCGATACGATCTTTGTAAATGCTGCATTATCGTCGCTCAGTTGGATATCTGTTTTTCTGATTTCATTAATTTTCATTCTTTCATTTTATGACTTGTGGAGGGGCACCATAAGCATTTTCTTTTAAACAGATACCAGAACCTTATACAATTTCAGTATTATTAATATTATTATTATGTTATGGTAAAATTACAATTTAATGACTTTTTCCAGTTGGCGTCACGTTGTCAAGACCTCATTCCACGTGTTCTTCTTTGTCTGACAAAGATATCACAACAGCCCAAGATTGATGTTGATAATGCTGAGAATAAAACGCTAATCAGCCGAGCTAATGAACTAATTAACCTTCTCAGGCTTCCGAAGTAAGTCCCGATAGTTTTATCAATTGTATATTTTTCTTTGTTTTTTATAAACTAAAACAGCCACATGGAAAATAACAATATTCTTATTCATTGTAAATTTATTTAATTACTGTATTATTTTTTATGTTACTACTGCTACTGCTGCTGCTGCTGTTGTTGTTGCTTCTGCTGCTGTTGCTGCTGTTGCTTCTGCTGCTGTTGTTGCTGTTGTTGTTGCAGCTGTTGTTGTTGCTGCTGCTGATGTTGCTGCTGTTGTTGCTGTTGCTACTGCTGTTGTTGCTACTGCTGCTGCTGCTGTTGTTGTTGTTGCTGTTGCTGCTGTTGTTGCTGCTGCTGTTGCTGCTGCTGCTGTTGCTGCTGTTGTTACTGCTGTTGTTGCTACTGCTGCTGCTGTTGTTGCTACTGCTGCTGCTGTTGCTGCTGTTGTTGCTGTTGCTACTGCTGTTGTTTGCTACTGCTGTTGTTTGCTACTGCTGCTGCTGTTGTTGTTGCTGCTGTTGTTACTACTGCTGCTGCTGTTGTTGCTGTTGCTACTGCTGCTGTTGTTGTTACTACTGCTGCTACTGTTGTTGTTGCTACTACTGTTGTTGTTGTTGCTGCTGTTGTTGCTACTGCTGCTATTGTTGCTGTTGCTACTGTTGTTATTGCTATTACTGTTGTTGTTGTTGCTGCTGCTATTGTTGTTGTTGCTGCTGTTGTTGTTGTTGTTGCAGCTGCTGTTGTTGTTGCAGCTGGTGTTGTTGTTGCTGCTGTGGCTACTGCTACTGTTGTTGCTGTTGCTGCTGTTGTTGCTACTGCTGCTGCTGTTGTTGCTGTGACTACTGCTGCTGTTGTTGCTGTTGCTGCTGTTGTTGCTGCTGCTGTTGCTGCTGTTGTTGCTGTTGCCGCTGCCGCCGCCACTACTATTGCTGCACATACTATCCATCCCTCAATTTAGTAAACAATCATGTTCTTTTTTTCATCATTTCTTTAACCAAGTGTTGCATCATCAATCCTGAGTCCAGCCCCTGGCATTGAGAATGGCCGTTGGCATAGCGATGGAAGTGTGTCTATACCTATACTGATCAAGACAATCAAAGAAGTTGTTAAAGTATGATACTGTAGGTAAACATTTAGAAAAACATAACCTTATATCAAGATCATTTTGACCCAGAAGAGATGAAGGTAATATTATTATATTTTCCCCTGGAATATAAATTTGTGTCTGGTAAGTTTTTAAATGATATATACTAGCTGCCACATTGTGGTGTATCTGTTCCATATATAGGAATGATATAGGACAATTGATTTATATAAATACTGAATTATTTTTAGCAGCAGTTCGTTCATTCGTTTGAATACATAATCACAGGAGCTACACAGGTGTACATAATCACATGAGCTACACAGGTGTTAATGTAGCTTCCTTTTGCGAATAATAGATTCTAGTTGCTGTTATCAGTTGACTGAAACAGTCGTAGCAGGGTCACCATGTGCAGGTTAACAGCAGTGATCTGTATATACAGTTGTGTGTGTTCCTCACATAGGCATTTGTAACAAAAAGAACAGTGAAATTATCACTTATGTGAAGCCCGTAGAACCTAATTTGCCTTATGTCGTAAAAAATGGCTCTCTGCAGCAGAAGTTTTTTTCTGTGTTTAGGTTTCTACAAGTGAATTAAACAAAAAAAAATCAAAGGAATTCCATAAAAGGAGAATAATGCTATTAAAGAAATGTGATATATTTTTATTATTCAGATCAAATAACAGATGTTAAATGGTAGATTATGCAGATATTACCTAAGAGTATAGAACTGCAAGATGTATGAATACCCTGACTTTGTATGCGTGTAATGGAACATTAAAAAAAAGTATTGCCATTAAATGAGGGTGGTGGTGGGGGGGCCCTTATTAAAATTTGAATAGAGTTGGAAACTCGACATGCAAATGTCTTATAAGGACGCGACCCTTTGTGGCAGTGTTGTTTGAAATAGGATACGTTCCAATGAAACCACCACGAGAGTCGGACTCCTTGCAGTTCTGTCGTCTTTGATATCATTGTATGTGAAAATTTGAATGGTTAAGCCCTGTTCAGACTATTAAATTTATTTGACAAAAACATGTGACATGCCAGAATATGGTCATGATGACATCACATCATGACCATATATAGGCACATCATGACCATATATAGGCACATCATGACCATATATAGGCACATCATGACCATATATAGGCACATCATGACTATATATTTTTATCAAAGAAAATTTTATAGTGTGGACAGGGCTTTAAGCTGGTTTTCCACTAGGCAAATCAAAAGCGTCGGTTCATGCGCATGCGCATTTCTATCGGAGTGTTTGCGAAGCAAAAAAATGGGCAACCAATCAGAGCTCAGGAAGCGAATGGACACTCTGATTCGCGTGAATAAACTCATCTAGTGGAAAACTGACTTTACATAGTCTGGCTGTGATAAATCCATATGCTGATTGTTGATGGAAAAGATCATCGTTAAAAGTATTCTGTAGCAAACACTTAGTTACATCATGCTCTACGTGAAATTGAACTGCCCTACTGTCAGTGATGCTGTTTGAGCCTGCCTTTATTCTAGCTTGAGGTCAGGGTTTCCATCCCTCGCTGTGCATTTCACCTGTGTCCTTGGGCAAAGCACTTTGTCTGCATGGCCTCTCTCCACCCGGGAGTAAAAGTGGGTACCTGGTAGGGTTAAATGCCACAATGAGCTGTTGTAGCTGCTGCAAGGTTATACTCCCCCTGGGAGCTTGAGTTTGTGTTTCATAGACGTTTATTCCAATGACTGGGTTAATGATAATTTGAAGCGCATAGAAGGCTTAACAATATTATTATTGTTGTTGTTGTTGTTGTTGCTATTATTATTACTGAAATTATTATATCTGTTATAATTATATGAAATGTATATTTGAAATACTATTATTAAATTGGTCAAAATTTTGCTTTAAATAAAGTCTGGACCTTAATACTAATAATGCTGATATACTCATAGAAAATTCCTAAAGATTTTATTTACTTAAAACACGATATGCAGATTTACTGATTTTTTTAAATTTATTGGTTTTTTTTTCTATAAATATTTACTTCTTATATAATTACGTATGACTAATTTCATATTCAAATTTATTATTAGTATCAATATGTATAAATCTTAGGCTTAATATAATAATGCAATTCTTTTAGTCATTTATGTTTATCTGAGTCGTTTATATTATTTGTATTATATTAGTAGTAATTAGTTGGAAGCACACACATATTTAGCGACAGTGGTTTAGGCTGTTTTTGTGCTTTCTTGGCAGCTAATGACTATGGTTCATTTAGTGTACTTGTTAATGTTATGTTCGTTTGATTTTTTTTTATTTGTATTATATTTTGTATATTGTACAGTATTTTTTCCCAGAATAAATAATAAATAATTATATAATATGCCAAAGAATGAATAGTGATAATATGCAACTCACATGGTACAATATAATAACCACACATTTAATATTATTTAAATTATCAAAAGCCCAGAGATAGACAAGTGTTTATTTAATTTAACCTAACCTAGGGTCTGCAAAAAGTTTGTCGTGTTAAGGCCAACTCAGACAGCGTCGGCCGACGCAGCCCGACCCGATTTATCGTCTGGGACAGTCTTAAGCTGTCGTGAGAAATATTAAACATGTTTAATATTCTATGACAAGACTGCCCCCGACGCAAACCAATGCGTCTGCGTTTTACTCACACAGACTCGACACGACAACAAATCGCGTCGGGCTGCGTCGTACGACTCTGTCTGAGTGGGCCTTTAAAAGGGTCCGCGAAAAATGTTGAGGTCTGGTACTGTAGTAATGTACTTTTGTGCCGAGTCTTCTGATATCTACAGCATAATGTATTGGTGGTCAGCGGGTGATTTAGAGGGAACGACAGTGCATCAAATATAATTAGGCCCCAAAACTGTAAACAGACACGTAGGCCTACAAGTAGTACAACAGGTTGAAGATGTAAATATTACATAAATTGAACTATAATGTTACGCCTATATACTGTAGTAAGTTCCAGTTTTTGATTTAGTCAGTATTTAAACATTATTAGACGATAAGGTAAGTTTACTTCAAAAACTAATTACGTAGGGGAAAACCCTTGGCTTGCCGTTTTCATTTGTGTTGTCATGTGCACACAGATAGAAAGTATACAATATATTGGAAAGTTTCAATAGGCGCTGTGACCCCAATGACTATCAATTTGTGGTCGACTGAAAGATCAATCATTCAAAAGGTTGCCGTATCTACATTGAAATGTTATAAAAAGAGAAATATCAATCTCAATCTTATCTGGTGGTGTAACGGCGAGTCAGGGGCCCCAGGGGCGAGAAAGTGTAGGGGCACTGTAAATTGAGTATTTTTGTCCACGAATTGAGAGAAGGGGATTCAGTATGTGAGGGAAAATTTCCTCTCACAAAAGAATAAAACGAATAAAGAAAGACTGTATTATAGGCAATGTGATTTTTTTTTGCGACTATCCTGTTATTTTAATTAACTTCAGACAGGGGTGGCGCCAGGATTTGCCCAACAGTGGGGCCAAGTTCCCCGACAAGGGGGCCCATGTCCCCGACAAGGGGCCCATGTCCCCGACGAGGGGTCAGATTTCCTGGACGAAACCAAAGTGGGCGTGGTCGAGCTTCAATTAAAAGGTTTCGAAAGTGGTCCAGGGGGCAAAGGCCCCGAAAATTTTGAAGGCTTATTTAATCTATTTTAGAGTCTACTAATATGTAGAAAATACATTGTTTTTCTCCCCGACGAATTATGCTTTTTCTCCCCGACGGGAGGCTAGCTTTCCCCGATGTGGGGGGGGGGGGCATGCACTTCCCCCGCCCCCACTGGCGCCACCCCTGACTACAGAACCAACCTGAATGTTTAGAAATTGTAAATTTAGTCATAGTTCGTCCTTTTACATCAGCACAATGTCATTTATTTACATATCGCTATTAACATGCATCGTTAGATTCATAAAAAAATATAAATATAAATGTATTATTTTCTGTAATATAGATTAAAAAGGAATATTAAATCGCCAGAAGTTTGGCATTGAAGTTGCCATAGTGTGCAATCCAACAACTGGCTCTACTCCCCACCCCCCGACCAGTTTGTCCACATTTGCATACGCCGCACCCCCAAAATGGTAATCCAGGATATGTCCCTGTACACAGAAACAAGACAAGTGAAAGGAAGAGTGAATTTTCCAAACAGAATTATTACTTAAAACTCTAAAATGTTTCTTTAAAATTTTCAAAAACCTGTGTGATAGCAAAACGTAGTAAGTTAAGTGCTGGGTAGTGGGGCTGCCGGTGTTCTCTATGGGGCCGATTGGTACTTGTGAATGGACGTTGGCACCAGAAAGCACACAGGCGTTTGCCATTGGTCAAAGCAGGGTTGCCATTTGGCCTTTTTGACGCCCAGATTCCTCAAATCTGGCCGTATAAAAATTTGCCTGGCCGTAACGTTTGAAAAGTCACGGCCAAAATATATTTGGCCGAATTTTTAAAAAGTTTACATTTTTTTTTTCAATAGGCCTAATATAAGGTAGACTTGTTTTGGATATGTTGTTTTTGTTTTCTTAAATTCATATTTGATTGTAATCATGTACCTTTGTTTGTACTTGCTGCCTGCTTCCCGGACCCCTTTAGCCGATTGGACGTAAGAGAGTTTATTTAAAAGATAACAGTTACTTAATTGTTCGGATGAAATAGTTTATTTTATATGAAGTTTCCTCGTTTAAACTTTATGAAGACAGTTCAGAGCAAGTTTGTAGGCCTACCATATATTGTGTGTGTTTGCATATGTTCCATCCTAGTGGAGGTTCTATCTCTTTGGAATATAAATTAAATACTGTACTTTAATTAATTTATTATTGCCCATTTGAATTGTATAGGCCTATGTGCTGCAGTGTTCTTTATGTAGAATTCGATGTGATCTTTCAGGTCCGATGGCACCTCCAATTTCAAGCAAGCGTTGTGCCAGAGAATTCTTCGAAGTTACTCTAGAGTTAGGTTGTATATGAGAATGAAGATAATTCTGATAGCAACATTAATTTATTGCTTTAAGTACTGCGACAATAACATTAAGAGGCGAATTTAGAAAGTTTAGATATAAAGTATTTATTAAAGTTTTCATAGATTTGTTTTAACGCCTGTTACCTACTACAGTACTAGCCTATAACTTAATTCACCGCGGATTTGCCAATAGCAGGCCCTTAAATGTTTTGCTCTAGCATACTGTAGTTACCAACCTGAGAGGTTTGAAATGCGTGAGTGACTACACCATTTGGCTGAGGGGAAGGGTCCAGAGGCAGAGCCCAGCTGGGGTCGAGGGGCGTGGCCCCAGGCGCTCTGACGATCTGAGCATTAAAGCTGTTTTAAAACGATTTCAGAGAGTGTGTCTTGACAATAACGGTGACATAAGCAAAAATATTTTTAGTTTCAATTAATTGAGCACCCGAACTATGTTGACCTAAACATT